TTCGATAGTCCTCATTCGATTATACTTCCGACATTCTAATAACTGCTATAATTTTGTCATGAAAACCTTCATAAATCACATATTTATCCGCTTTAGCGGGATAAGTGACTCGTGCGAGTCTGCCGTTTAAAGTCATGTCGTGTGATTTAAGCAACGTGCTCCATCTTATGATTACATCGATATTCAAAATATTTTTAATACCGTGATGTATTGTTGGTCGCACGCGACTTGGCCGGGTTAATCGTGAAATATTACACCGCGAAAGTCGTATTCGCAGCGAAAGAAGAAAAGAAAAATAAAAAAGTCAAATGTGTCTAAGGGAAGAAATATGAAGCGGTGAGATCTCTGTATGCGTCGTATCGTGCCGAGGAAAAATTGTTTCACGAAATTCCTGATGGCCCTAATCAAGTGATAGATATCATTAAGACATTAATCTTTCACGAGATCCCTCTTATTGCGGTTATCGATTTATCGAACGACGCACGCAAGCGCGCGGTTGAAATTAATGTCCGAAGCCGGAAGTGGACCATTACGACGACCAAATCCATGGCTTCAATTCAACCACGACGGTCGTCAAGACAAAGGACCCTTGTCCCTCAAAGACGCCAAGTCAGATATCCTGCTGGGCTTCCTTCTCCCCGCATCTGCGTTCAACGTTAAACCACATTTCATACTAATTGCACTAGTTTACAAAACCGCATATTTCATGCTCCCTTTACGTAATCCTATCGTGTGCTTCGAGAAAATCTTAGTGTGAGGATACAAGTTACGTTTATGATTTTAAAAGTCTTAAAGGAAGTTATAGATGGTCGTAAAATTAATTTTTCAAAGGAATTAATTCATAATTAAGATAGCTTTCATGTACATTTTAATCTTATATGAAATATATATATATATATATATATATATATATATTAATTTATATATTTAAAATTTATTTTTCTCGAGAAAAAAAATTGCATCTCGTACATTTAAAACTTCCTTCTCTGCCTGATTTTATATTTATGCACTTTTATATTTTCGCTCGCTATTTTAAAATAAATTTTTAAAATTGCTATTGAATTTTTTATCCTTTCTGGATTAAATAATTTTTTATCTTTTCTCTGATGATAGTTGGAATTTCTTTTTCAATTTTAGTTAAATAACATATTAGTTTTACAGATGTAAACACTATCGTGTTTAAAAAAAACGTGATTAATAAATAAAGCAATTGCATGCAAATAAATCAAATATCAGTTATCTTTTAATCAAATTTATGCACTGGCCCATTTCGAAATACTTTTTCACACGGGCCTCGCGAAGCCTTATCTAGTCTTCTTCCCAATTCAAGTTTTATCCCGGCACGAAATGGCTTTTCCGATCCAATAAAGTGTGCCGCGTTAATTATCGGAATTTCGAGAGGTAATTCATTAATATCGCTTTCTGGCTGCACGAATCGATATCGTCGTCGCGAGGAAACGAGGGAGGGTGGAAAAGAAGGAAAGAAAGAGAAAAAGAGAGAGAAAGAGGACACTCCCCTTCCGGTGGGAAACCGACAGCTAAATATATATAATCAACTGTCGTGTTTTATGATGTCTTCCGCGACGCGTTCCGTTAACGTCAACGTTGCGTTCATCGGACAGAAAAAATTCTCTCGGGGGTGACAGATCGATGGCGGTGCGCGCGGCTTCGCGGAGAACGTTGGTCGCTCTATCAAAATTACTTGGCGGCGTTCGACTTTTCGTCGCCATCAATCTTTCCCGGTTTGACTGCTAACGCGATAATGCAGTTACGCCGCGTGCCGGGTTAGGTAGATACGGATACCTAGCCCGGCCAGCCCGTCGAATTCGTCATAAATAATTGAATTAAAAGCAACGACGTCGGATAAGTGGATTTGCGGATCACCCAACTGGCGGAGCCTCACGCTGATTCACGATAGCCCCGTTTCGCGATACCGGAGATTTCATAGGGAGTTTACGCGAATCCGCGGAACGACCGCTCTCTTGAGGGTATGTCGTTTGGAAAGCTCGTGTTGACTTTTTTCATCACCATTTCTGCCCAACGGAGACTCTGAATACGTCATAATATATGTTTTTGCATTATGTTTCAAATGTAACATTAATGAGTGTGTGCAAAAAATTCGCTCGCAAATATTTCAATAAATTTCTAAATAAATAAATATATATCATATGGAATTTTTTTAGTAATAATTTAGATATAATAATTTTTGTGTAGAAATTATTATTATAATATACGTATAAAATTTTCTCTCTCTCCCTCTCTCTTTCTCCCTCTTTCTCTTTCTATTGCTTTCAATGCTCATAATTTCTTCAAATTTTCTAGTTTCAATTTTGTTTTTTTTTCTACAAAAAATCTGATAATTTTTTGTTGCATTAAAAATAAATATAAAATGAAGCTTCCATATTATGATATTTAGTTTCATAAAACAAATGTGTTTGGAAAGATTTGTGTGATAATTTTAGGATAAAATATAATATCTATTTTAGGATAAAATATAATATCTTTTTCTCTATTTAAAACTATTGAATCTCAAATAGATAAATCACACATAAAATATTAAGTTGATTTTTCTTATTTTATTAGCGCAATAAATTATTATAAATTATTTTTATAAACTATTTATCGAGTAATATTCACTAATAATCTAATTTCATTATTTTATGTTTTATCAATTAAACATTAAAATTGAAAGAATTTCGAGATACATTTTGTAAATACAAACAAATAATTGTTTTATGCCGAAACACATCACGAAATTTCGTGATGTTAGCGCAATATCTTTGCTTACATTATAATTTAGGAACAGTAATTAAATAAAATAATGATTAAATTATATAAAGTAATGGCGAACGAATTAATTAGTCGCTTCGATAAACATGATGGAAATTGCGAATCCAAATAAACACAAATGCATCGTTGATAAAAACAAATCATAAAGCTCTTTCCCTCTTTTTCATTTTCCTTCTCTTTCTTTATCTGATTCAGTGAATTCTGATATCTTAAATATAAAATAAAATAAAATGTGTCGAATGTGTGAAAAAAATTTCATAAAAATTATAAAGTTTTATAAAAGTAGTATTAATTTTATATCAATTTCATTAAAATTTACCAGTCATTAATTCAGTGAAAATTCGAAAATACTATTTTATTGTTCAACGATTATAAATATTTAATGATTAATTTTCGGTCAGCGATATCTAATTCTATAAATTCTATAATGAAGAAAGCTATGGTGGTTGACATTGTATGAATTTAATAGTTCGCAAGTTCCTACACAAAAGTTCTCAAGAGTTTTCGTACCAAGTCACAGACTCGCTCTAAGGATATCTTCGCGAATTGGGGCGGATTTGTCGCGGTCATCGACTTTTTGCAAGCATCAATCTTAAAAGTTCCTGCGAGCAATTTGGCGTATCTCGATGCCGATTTAATATAATGTCGAATAAAGAATAATGACATCTAATAAAGATGTCTTTAGCAGCTTATTCTTTATTCCCTCATCTTGTTATAAAATATTGTCGATCGCTCGAGACGATGAGAGACGACGAGGAGTCTAAAATCAATATCCCTGAGGAAAAATCGAAGGATTTGATAAGGATATCCCCAGCGAACGCTATTGTTGCGTTTATCTGTATCCAGTACCTATCCAATAAGCTTGTCGTTTTCGTGGAATCGCATACCGATTGCCACGCTCTCACCAGGATCATCGATCGCCTTACCAGTTCGAAGCATCATGATAGTTGTACGGAAGGAGGTCATTACGCTCGTGCACATGAATAAATTTGTACAGTTGTTCCATGGCTATACGGACAAGATTAACCGTGTACTATATTCGTATCACTGTTGCGTAGGCATTAGCATAACTTCTCACGCACTATTGCTATACGAATGGTATTTAGTGGAGGAATGTCTTTTCCTCAAAAACGAGTGTTTGTAGATTTTCATAAAAAACAGTAATAATTTTTATAGTATTATCCAAAAACAATTTATTGTTTATGAAAAAATATTTGGATCGAATTTAATCATTTGTCATGTCTGTTGAATGATTTAGATGTTTTACTGTTATTTCTTAGGTTATACCTTATACAGTAAAAATAGAATGTTAATTGTAACATTTTTCACATGTCCCAGAAAGTCCACTCTAAATTTTAAGTTAAAATAACTCATTACTTATTGACAAACTAAAAATGTCAAATAATTGACACAACTTTACATTTACTTTTGTTATCGTGACTTTAAGTGTAATGTAAAAATAACATACAAATTAATTAAAAATTACATGAAAAAATAGTTACAATACTCGCAAGAAATGTTGAGGACATTAACATATAATAATTAGTAATTATTTTAACTTAAATTATTTGTAATAGAAACATTTGATTTTAGTAAATTTGATTATTTTTGTGTCTCAAAGTTCAAGATTATTTGAAGATTCACTTAAACTTTTCTTAGAATGTTAAACTTTGAAACATGTTGATTGTTTAAAATGATTATGTTAAAAATACTCAAAATAATATTCCATTTCTAAGAGACGTATAGAAAGTTAAGTTATAAAGTTGACATAAATGTAACCCATAAAAACGTTATAAAAATAATGACATATAAATTGTATGTTAATTTTATATTAAAGTACTAATCGAAACGTGTAACACAAGAAAATTTTAACATATGGACGCACAATTTTTTACTGTGTAAATAAATTTTAATATATCTGGAAGTCTATATAAATATATATTATCGTAGAGATTATATTGTCTGCCGCGATAGTTACACGCAAACACAAATTTTACGTCACTCTTTCCTCTGCGAAACGTGCAGAAATGCGCGATAACAACTTGAAGGAAAGAGCCGAACCCACGAAAGGAGACACAATAATCATTCCGGAGAAATCGGTCTCTACTTGAAAGCCCCGATTGCGACTCGATTCTCCCATTCGAAAATCGGTCGCTTCTTTTAAGAGTTTTTTTTTCACGAGGAGGAGGATTACATTGCTGCTTTCTTACCTCGGCATCGGAGACGGTCCTTTCCGCCAAATTGCGAACTTTGCAGTGGAGGAAGGCGGTACCGCCCAATTGCACCGTGACGTTGGAGACGGTGTTGTTGTCGTTCGCATCGTTCACTCTCTGTAGCTCGTCGAGATTGCTGAACCAGAGGGCCCTCCAATCAGACGGTATGTTGTAGGGTACGCGTCGATCTGAGGAAAGAAAAGATGACCAGCGGGTATAATTACGGTAATTTAATTAAGTTGATTGTCTTTGGGGAGCGAAACTCGACGAACGACTGCCGCAATTACCAGCGAGGCGATCGTCGGCTCGACTAAAACCAGCGGCAAAAACTTTTTTATCAGGACAAAGAAAAATAGAAGTTATAAAGGTACGATGGGAGAGAGCCAGGAGAAAACAAACGCGGAAGGAGCCTTGACTCCGCTTGTTTTATCCCGGCCCTCGTGAATTAGAAACTACTTTCCGCGCTCGGACCCTTCTGAATTACCTTGTTATTAAATTTTTTAAGAAGACGACCTGTGTTCCCGCGCGCTTCGCTCATTTCTTTCGATGTAAATCACTGGGGAAATGTGCCGCACGAGTTATGAGGCAGTTTGCACATCGCCGTAACGATGTCTTGCAGTATTATTTGAACATCTCGCGTACAGGTGTACGGAATATACTGTATCCCGACAAAGTTTAAGCACATGGGAGTGATATTATTATCAGGCTCGGTATCGGCGTTATGTCGTGTAATTATAACGCGGTTTGAAATCATTTATACACGATTTATATACGATGCGGGATGTCTATTCAAATCTTTTAAAAAAATTCTTTGATCTTTCGGAATTTTTGTCCAAAATTTCCGATAAAGAAAATATTTTTTACAGATTCTTTTAGTGCAATTTTCTAAAAATGTTTTTTACCGTATGTGCTTTTTCACTTATATAAAGGAGAAATACAAGTTGTTTTAAGAGATGCTAGATTTGTAAATGTGAAAGAAACTGAATAATTTTTACATAATAAGTATTGTTCACTCGCATAAAATTTGCATTTCTTTATCTGAAAATTACATAAAGAATATAGTGCATATTATTTTGTTAAGAGATATATTGAATATACAAACAACCATAGATATATATTTATGTTTTATAATTCATTTTGTTTGCGCCGATTGTTTACAATATAAAAATAAACTAATATCAAAAATTTTGTAAATAAATAAAATTCCTAGATTCCAATAAAATCTCATGAAAATTTTGTGATTTTTTTCCAGGTACAAAAAATCTCTGAGACTTCTTTGTTTTTTCAAAGAGTAGACACTTTGTAAAATTTTGTAAAATTTCTTTTACATGAACCTCATTAAATCCTCGGTGACTATTTTTTAAATTCCTAGCTTACATGTAAAAAAAGATGAAAAATCTCCGTAACATAGTTTTTACTCGATGATAATAAAAATCCGAGTAAAAAATCCGCAATGTAAAATAATGCGACAACGTTTTGCTAATTGCAACATTCCGCATCGCTCGAATTTGACCGCACGTTTCGCGGGATACGTATTGTTTTATGGAATAAAATTTTTCCGCAAGAGAGATCGCAAGATTCGCGACGAGAGGCTGAAAAAGACTGAAAGACGCAGAGAAATTTTTTCCCGGACGCGCCGCGCTTTGTTAAAATTTTCACGAATACGACCTATTTCCGGGCGTGGCGCAGGTGATTTAGGGATGTTTGCCCCCGACGGCAGATTACGATTCAAGGAGACTGCGTCGTCGGTGCCTGCGCCTCGTCCTGACCTCATTTGAATAATCCATGGATACGCAGCGGACCGTACATATACCTTTTACGCGTCGCGCGAACGCGCTCGCGTTAAAAAAAAGGGGATGCTCGCGTATTCGCGATGCTCTCTCCCTCTCGAAAACACGACCCCGTTCGCGTCGCATTTGCAAAACTTTATTCAGATCATGTTGCCTTCGAAATTACTGCGGACCGAATCTTTTAACAGTCGCGACTTTGTGCGAGAAAATTTATGAATTCTTTTTTTTATGAAAAGGAGGCGCTGTGTGTCAGCTTTTCGCAATAAAATATGTATTTACTTCTTTTTATGAAAATGTTTTTTATCGAGGAGAAAAAAACAAAAACAAAAAGATAATAAATATGTTTTTCATTTTATATTCTCAAACGAAATTTATATAGAATGTACTGTTGTTTTGGCTTTACATTATTTGTATATTGAGTATTAAAATTTGACAAGCTCGAATAAATTCTACATTTAATTTAGGAATGAAAAAGAAGAAACACATTTTTTCGACTTGAAATGGACCAGATAATTCTGGTATTGACATTTTCGATAACTGTTCCGCGGAAAATTCAATGTAACTGTCTAAATAAATCATTAGTCAGGCTGCTAAAATTACATTACACGAAGAAATAATGTGTGTACAGACGAGAGGAATTACGAATGAAAAAGCATCGAACTTTAATGCTATTGTTCTTGTTTAATTCCAGACGTGCAGAATAAGAAACATCATGTATGTATTTTTGCATATTTTATTGTGACGAAAATAAAAGAACAATCTCTCTTTGATATTTATACAGGATGTTTCTTAACAAGTGCAAAAAATTTTAGGAAATGATTCTTTGAAATTGAGGGAGATTTTTTATATAAACATTAAAATGTTCTAATAAAAAATTGAATAAGGATAGTTTCCCCTTATAACAATATGGGAGGCTGAAAAAAATATTGATAAATAACCTTTTTACTAGTAGAAAATATTCACTTAATTTCATTTTTTTAACTTGTTCCAAATTTAAGAAAAAAATAAAAATCTAATTTTTACTCCCATTTTTGGAGGAAATTTGTAACTCCACCGGGAGAAATGTAGTAGTATATGTTTATATGAAAAACCCCGCTTAATTTTCGACAAAGAATCATCTTTTAATTTAAATTTTTCGTACTTATTAAGAAACATTTTATATATATTACGTTTATTTTCATCATCGTTTGCACAAATAAATGAATTTATTACCACACAATGTGATAATTATGTAATTATCAGACAGAAACTCACTAAATGCTTTCGATGCATGGAATAAAAAAAGCGTATCAGTGTAAACATATTTAATTCACGAAAGCAAGAATCTTGCGAGAAAAGTTTAACGCGCACGATATGTGCGAGGGATGCATCCGTATCTCCTTCAGCAGGGCCTTCCTTTCATCGGGGATTCGATTCGACCGTGGAAAAGTTCGACATTCTAACCGCCTCGAATCTATCTTGTACATAGGTGCTGCGGCAAATCGAGTTTGAAAGCCTGAGAGTAGCGAGCGTGTTTGGCCGCTGCTCGTATTCATCAAAGCACCGAGGCAAAACTGAAATACTCGGGGCTTCGATGGCTTCGCCAAATTCTGAAAAGTCTTTTAACCGCTCGTAAAAGGAAATGGCTTAACGTGGAAAATGAACGGGAAATTTAATCTCTCCATAGAGCTATAACGGAGGGATATTAATACGGAAATTTTCGCGATTGTTCGACGTTATTTAATTAGAAGCGAGGAAAGAGTTTTTTTCACTCCCTCTCCTGTCCCCGGAAAAAGCGTATCTCGCGTCGTGTGTATTGTGTTGATAAATATAAAATCTAAATTGTTTTTCCTTTCGTATAGATTTTACAAATAACGTGGCTGGCATTCCAACGCTAATCTTGTTTTAAACAACATGCAATGTTTGTTAACGGACTTGCGCTGTTATTCCGCGTATCACGTCAGTTACTTGTTTTCGGACGCATTGAATTTTCGCGTCCGTTTCGCAATAACGAAGTTTCAACACTTTATTTAACTAGAAACATCGCGAATTATTCAGATCGAAGCATCAGGTACCTCGCCACTGTGGATTTCCGTTAGTGTAACGTTGCGTTGTCTAATTTAATGCCAGCAAACATCATTGTAATAATGAATGAAAATAATTAATTACAACGCTATGCTAATGCAAAGTGCACAATTGTTGCAGACTCCGCGTTTCATATATCCATCATGTAATAATCTCTACGGTACATTATCAGGTAAATTATAGAATGTACAAGTCTATGTGTTTGTGTACGTTGTGTCTACGTGTGTGTCGAGCATCGAGAGTTTCGCTTTTCATCTCGAGCATTTCAAACTTTCGAGATGATGAAAACTGTTTTTCCATTATTATATTATCAAGTTTTCGATAAAAACTGAATAAGTTTTGGATCTGTTTATTAATTGACAAGAATTTTATGTGATTATTTAACTGTCTGTTGGAAATGCTGAATGCCTTTTTGTAGTGAATATCTAAAAAAATTTGTATTTAGGAAAGATTTTTTCCTACATAAATTTATTTATTTTATTTATTTATTATTCTTTTTACATTTTTATTTATTTTATATTTATCTTTTTACATTTACTCAACTAAAAAATATTAATCTCAATAATTTTATAATATTTAATAAATAATAATAATAATAATAATAATAAATTCTGATTACGTAAATTAAAATTTTTAGCAAGCGTCAATTATATAAATAGACCGAGAAGAAGAATGACTGAACGAATAAATGGCTAAAATATTCCTACAGCAATATTAAAAAAAAGAAGAAGGTGAAAGTGAAGTGTTTTTTTATTCCCATTTTACTTGTCTATTGTAGGATATTGCGCGCAATTTGACTTGCCAGTCGGTTATCCGTGTTTGAAAGCATAATGGAGGCCTCTAGAAAACAAAGGGACGCGCGTTCTGCCATAGTAAAGGAGTAAGTGGGCCGCACGTGCGCGTGTGGATGCATATAACACATACAGAGACGAGCAATCGGTGCTCTCTCCGAAATGCGCGAGTTCCTGAAAAACACGTTCGCTCGACTGCGGACAAAGGATCCACCCCCGCGTGCGGCTGAGCGCTTCACGTGCACGCTTTGTGCGCTTATTTTATCGAACGTGTAATTTAGCCCTGCCGACTTGATGCACGCATGTCTCTCTTACTTTCCGAAGGTGAAAGACTTCATAAAAATGTTCAAACTATTGACTATTGTCGTATCGAAGACACAATCGCGCTCACTGCAGAATCCTATTTTTTATTTTATATTGATCCCTCTATCGATATCGATACTATCGCGCTGTAAGCGGATCCCTTGATGCGCTATGTCTCTGAGCAGGAGAACGTAACGCGCTGATTGGTAGTCTTTAATCTTTTGTAGCTCCGAAATTACA